GATAGATAGATAGATAGATAGATAGATAGATAGATAGATAGATAGATAGAGATATAGATACATACATACATACATACATACATACATAATCAATGAGAATGAGACGGCATCCAAAATAATAACATAATATGCTATTATGGTTGGTTGCACAGTCAGCCAGATGTTTAGACTGGATTTGGCATTTTTATTCACCTATCAAGTCCTTTCCAAGGACCTGGGATAGGCAGATATTGTCTGATGGTGTTAAATATACTGTCACAGGATATAAACTGTTCCAAGTGAAACAGTCTTCTGCAACTGATTGATGCTGATTTTGTTAATGCCAATGAACTCCATTGGCATTAACAAAATCAGCATCAATCAGTTGCAGAAGACTGTTCCAGTTATTTTGGGATTTCACCCAAGATGGCTATTACTATTGGTACAATTTTTGTTTCCTTTTGCCACAGTTGTTCTACTTTTATTTGCAAGTTTGTATTTTGTGATTTTCTACAGTTCATTTTCCTCTGTCTTTATCTCCAGATACTGCCCTCTCCACTATCTAGACTTTTTTTGTTTCTCTTATCAACAATAAATAAGTTTGGGATGTTATGTGGCAGGTGCTTGTCTGCTTGAATTGTGGCCTCACAGATACCTGCTTGCATGTAAATGGTTTCTCTTCCAGGTATTTCATATATTGTTATATTATTATTGGTAAAAGGCAAATCTGCTCGTGTTTTATACACTAAGATGGAAATCCCATTCAACTTAAAACTTGCTCCTATCTTACCCAGTTTTTGTTAATTTGATAAGCATTCCCACTACATCCAAATCATCAATGAATTTTTTGGAGAGTATTCTGAATTCTGTACCATTCATTCCCACTTAATATTGTGTTCCAGTTCAATGAGAACTAAGCACTTTTTGATTATAAGTTTTCAATCAGCTATGAATCCAAAAAACAGACATACCATCAGATATCATGAAGTTCTGTGTTAAATCTTTTCCTGAAATATAAATATATTATGCCTGCTACATTCCCAAATTTAACTAAGAAATTTATATAAACAAAAATGTGGTAATATTAGTCTTGCAAACCTCTCCTTGTCAAATCCATGCTGATTTCAAGGAATTATTACTAGTACACAGTATTGTGCTGTTTTATAAAATCTTCCCGGATATGGCTATAAAATAGTATGAAGTTCCCAATATTCATCTATGGGTGAATATATCTAAGTTTTAATTTCGCCTGTAACAGCAGAATCCTATGCAAGTATAACAATAAGGTTTAACATAACAACCCAGAATATAAAGTTGTGTTATGACTCCCCTTCAAAATTCAAGCGAGCAAAACAGAAAGCAGCCGCTTCACAAGTAAATCAAACAGAAAGAAGTCTCACAAGATAACGGCTGTCATAAATTACAATCCACAGTAACAATCTTTGCTCTGTTCGGCAAACCAGTCCTGGCAAAAAATCTCAAGCCTCAGAGCTTCTGTTGTATCGTCTTCACGCAATAAGTCACTTTGTTCCTGGCAAATTTTTCCAGCCCAGCTGTGTCCTTTTATACTCATTGAGGCAACGTGCTAATTTCCTTAATTATTGACTCGCCCTCCTCCTTCGTTCTAACTGGGTTTGCCTCCTTAATCGTCTTCTGTTCCTTACATTTAATCACAAGTTTTCCAAGTTCTCATCTCCACTAGAAGACTCTCTCAAAACTTCCCTGTCAGCCATTCCCGGCTGTTGATCAGATGAGGAACTAGAGGAGGTCAAAGGTCCTGACAATTCTAATACATCAGGTATTTTTCTGCCATGTCCTCCTCACTTGAACTCATATCAGCCACAGGAGCTGAATCCAAGCCCGGAGCCACAACAAAGTTGTATGTGTTTCTAGTGTTCTACCCAAATAGTATCTTACATTTTAATTAAAAGTTTCTGGAAGAATGTGACTTCTTTAAAATATTAATATTTGAAACACTCACCGTTTTCTTTTTAGGAACCTCTTCAGATTCTATTTCACGATGAAGAGTGCTTCCGTCTCCATACTTATTTGCAGTTTTATCATCATTTTCAACAGGAGAATCCCTACATTTGATACTTCTGCTATCAGGTTCTTCTTCCAACTTTCTCTTTCGCTTTCCACTCTCTTCTACTTCAGCCATATTAGCTGAAGAGCTTGTTACAGCTGCAAAAAAAATAGTATTTTCTATTACTAAACAAGACCTTGCTGACAGACCATTCTGATAAACTGATGTCTACTGGGACATAAAGCATTCCTACCACTGGAAAATAACAAATCTTGAACTTAACTTTAATTATGATAGCATATTAATGATGCTGTTAAAGAATTGTGTTAAATTTGAATTTGCATATTTGAGTTGAATCTTAAAACAAGTTCATATTCACTCAAACTAATTTTGAGTCACAAGATCTATGTTATTCAAATAATCAGCCTTATACAGGTAGTCCTTGACTTATGACCACAATTGAACTCCACATTTCTGTTTTTAAGTGAGATATTTGTTAAGTGAGTTTTGTCCCACTTGATGACCTTTCTTGACACATTTGTTAAGTGAATCACTGCAGTTGGTAAGTTAGTAACCTGGTTGTTAAGTGAATCTGGCTTCCTCATTGACTTTGCTTATGAGATAGCAATAGGTGATCACATGACCTTGGGACACAGTAACAGTCATAAGTGTGAACCAGTTGCCAACCATTTGAATTTTGATCACATGATCATGGGGATGCTGCAAATGATGTAACTGTGAAAAATGGTCATAAGTCACATTTTTATTGCAGTTGTAATTTTGAGTGGTCACTAAACAAATTGGTGTTAAGTCAAGGAGTACCTGTAACTCTTATTAAATATTTACTAAATATTTTAAATACAAATCAAAAGAATTGATACTAAAATATATTTAAAGCAATCTTAAAGCTGCACCATCAATTTATTTACATCCATATTAACTTCTACTGCAATGAGGGTTGTTGGTTTTTTTTTTGCTTTTTCTGGTAAGTAAAGGCAGTGGTAGGCTCTGCTTTATCAATCAAATCATGCACATTAAGCTGATTCCTATACCTTTCCAGGATATCCTGTTACAACTCATTCCAACCAAGTTTTCTTCTCACATGCCTCCCTCTCTAAACCCCTTAACCCCCACTAGATTATTGGGATAAAAGATTATATTCTTAATCCTATTTTTACTGGTAAATCCAGAAAAAATTTCACCTGTGCATGCACATCAAGAATGTAGGGTAAACTTTTGAAGCAGCTTCATTAAAAATTGAAGCAGCCTTGCAAAAAAAAAAATGGCAGGTTTGTTAGTTCAAAGAGGTGCTTCATTCTTATTAATGTGAACTGCAAAACAATTCCAAATGCTTTGCACCATTCTAGCTTTTCATATCCTAAGCTATCTTTCATTTCATTTTCTTCATATCAGTAGGTAGGCAGATGGAAAAGAAAAAAGTGCTTTAGCCTTACTACTTTTCCTTCATGGTAGCTAATTCTTGGAGAGTGGAAAAGAAGCTAAGGGCTTATAATGCAATGGCACAAGTCAGGAAAAGAATAAACCCAGTAAGAGGCCTCATCACAACAATTGCCCTATCAAAAGAATTTAAGCCACACTGAGTCTTTGAAATACCCCATAAATGAGCTACTTTACTTTTGGGGAACTAGTTTTCCCAAATACAATAAGAACTAGGAAAGAGGTACATTTTAAACACGGCCAGAGGATTGAATTATTGGAATGGCAAGCTCAGTCTAAAGCCTGGTCTTCCTCTTGTTTTGCACTCATCAAAGGCATTCTTTACATGTGCTTTGTTCAGCCATCACACCAGGGGCATTTCCAATCATCTCAAGGTTGGTTGTTTTTTGCCTTCAAGTCAGATTTGACTCCTGAAAACTGCCTGCTTAAATCCTTGCAGTTTTTTTGGCAAGATTTTGTTAATGGATTGCTATTGCTTCCTTCCTAGGACTGAGGCAGTGACTTGGCTTAAGGTCACCCAGGTGGTTTTTTGCCTTAAGGTTGGAGTAGAGTTCACAATCTCCCACATTCAGGCTTGATGCCTTAAGCCAGGGTCGTCAAACTCACATCTTCACGACAACGTCGCATGATGTATTGCGACTTTTTTCTCCTTCTCTAAACCGGGCGTGGGCATGGCCCGGGCGTGACACATCCAGTCCGTGGGCCGCGAGTTTCACAGGCCTGCCTTAAGCACATACAACAAACCGGCACTCCTCACCCCGGTAGCCACACAGAACAAAATAGCGTAAGCTACAGAGGAAAAACCGCCATGCCTAACTAGAAGGATCTTGAGAGATTCTTGGTTAGTTGGGCTACGAAAGAGATGAAAGCAAGGATCTTGAGAGCTCATTTGATGTAGTGGTTAAGGTGCTGAGCTAAGTTGCTGTTGAGTTTTTAAAGCTTTTTTTTAAAGTTTTTAAAGATTTTTAAGAAGACACTGGACAGTCAGTCTACTTGTCTGAAATGGTATAGGCTCTCCTACTAGAGCAAGGGGCTGGACTAGATAGAGCTGGAAGACCTCCAAGATCCCTTCCAGTTCTACTCTGATGTTATTCTGATGAAGGTGCAAAGACTAGGAGTCCTTGGCCTCTCTTGGTATGAAACCCAGCTGACACTGCGTCAGCGCAGACAGCATCGCAGATTGTTGTTGTGAGGAAAATAAGAGGCGGGGTATTAGATATCTTTGCGACCTTATGTATTAAAAAAAGGGGGGAGAAACATGTAATACAGGTAGTCCTCGACTTATGACCACAATTGGGCCCCAAATTTCTGTTGTTAAAGTGGGAAGTGTGTTAAGCAAGTTTTGCCCCGTTTTACGACCCTTCTTGCCACCGTTGTTAAGTGAATCCCTGCCGTTGATAAGTTCATAACCCGGTTGATAAGTGAATCCCTGTTTTCCCCACTGTCAGAAGGTCGCAAAAGGGGATCGCATGACCTTGGGGCCCAGCAACAGTCATAAACACGAACCAATTGCCAAGCATCTGAATGACCATAGGGATGCCGCAAAGGTAGTAACTGTGGGGGGAAAAACGGTACCGATGTGACTTTGAACCGTCACTAAAGGAGCTGTTGTAAGTCGAGGACTACCTGTAATCCCCAACAGCTGGAGACTGGTGCCCAGTTGATTCCCTGCCAGCCCTTCTTATCGCGTCTCGGATCCTTCCTTGGGTGACCCCAGAAACGGGCGCTCCATCTCCGAGACCTCCAAGAGACGCGACGGGGAGGGGGGGGGATAATAAAAAAAAAATAGCGGAGAGAAGCGTCCAACGTTAACGGGACAGCCCGGCCCCGTTTTCCCTGGCGCGACACTTAAAAAAAAAAAAAAAAAAAACCTTCCGAAAAGGCGGTCAGTCAGACCCGGCGAAGAAGTTGCAGGCCCCGCTCGCGGGCTGAGGGAAAGATGCCAAAACTGAGGCCAGGCCTCAACGGCGCCTTCCCGCGCGCGCCCGTAACCCAGCGCAATCTCACCCTCCTGCTTCTCCGAAGCGGCGACGTCGGTCTCCCGCTCTCAAGAAACGAGGCGCCTCCCTTTTTTTGGTTTGTTTGTTTTTTTCCCCGATTTCCATCCGGGGTCACCCTGGCCACTTCCTCTTCGGAAAGGTCAGGGAAAGTGGGCGGGGCGGCAGGGCGGGAAGCGGAAAAGATCCTAGAAGGGCTCCTTCCCGGAGCGGGGTGGGGGTGGGGAGGAGGGAAGAGGGAAAGGCGCGCCCGAGGGTCGGGACGTCCAAAGGCACGTGGGTCGCCTGAGTCAAGTGAGCGCAGCCGGGAGGGAGAGTGTGGGCCCGGCGCGCCTGGCGGGCTCTCCTCCTGCACCTGCGAGGGGAAGGGACACCTCTCTCAAAAAGGTACCGAGCGGTCTGGACAGAGCAGGGGAGGTTCGTCTGGTCTGCGCCCGGAGGAAACCACCCAGGGAGGGGTCGGGGTCGGGGTCGCCTCTTGCTTGTCGGAAATCCCCCTGCCGGGAAAGCTGCGGGGAGAGGGTCGCCTTTAGTTCCTTGAACGCTGCTTGCCAGCCATGCTGTAGCATTAGGTCAGTCTTTCCCGTCCGAAGCGCCTCAAGGATGCTGAGACTCCAAGCCCCATAACCCCCCAGCTGGGATGTGCGCCTGTTGGGACTTGCAGCCCCAACACGCGCACCTGCTCCGAAAAGACCTCCTGAAACGCCCCTGGGCGGTGACTGCAACACCAGGTGGCATTTCAGTGCCTGAAGTTGGAGACTCTTTATTGTATTTTTTATTTTATTTGGTTTGTCAATTGCTTACAAGATAATAGGTATAAGTAAAAACATAGTTAGGAATACATGGATACATATAAGAAAAATAAAAGAAACAGTAGGACAGGGACGGTGTGCTTATGCACGCCCCCTTTTTTTTTCCTGAACAAGGAGCTCCCTTATAGGTAGTCCTTGACTTACAACAGCTCATTTAATGACCTTTTGAAATTACAAGGGCACTGGGGGGAAAGGGACTGAGGACTTGGCAACAGACTCATATTTATGACGGTTGTGGTGTCCCGGGATCTTTGCCATCTTCCAAACAAGCCAAGTCAATGGGGAAGCCGGATTCACTTAACAAGGGTGTCACGAATGTAACAACTGCAATTATTCACTTAACAACTCTGGGAAGAAAGGTCTTAAAATGGGGCAAAACTCACTGAAATGTCACACTTATGAACAGAAATTTGGGCTCAATTGTGGTCGTAAGTGGCGGGCTACCTGCATTTAACTGGTGTGTGTGTGAGAGAGACGGAGCCAACAAGTTTTCTTGTGTGTGTGTGTGTGTGTTGTGAGGGTGGGTTTGTAAATGCCTTCTTGAAAGGTTTGGCATAGCTTGGGTTAGTGTTTTTCTCTCTTTGTGGTAGCCCATGTAGTGTGGGGCCCTAAAGGGTTTTTATATATCTATTTGGAAGTATTTGTTGCAAATATATTGTGGCAATTATGGAGTAAAGGAAGAAATTCAACAAAAACTTTTTTTCCAGGTCTGATATACCAAAATCATTAGTTTATGGCAAGATGGGTTTTTTTAGAATAGCTGTTTGTTTTGAAGTGGTTGCAACAACCAATATTTGCTAGGAGTATTTAGAAACGAAAAGGTTATATTTCAGGAATATTCATGAAAGAGAAAAAATAATTGAGGTGATTTGCCCATTCTTGGGCATGAAACAGTGAGGCTTGGAACTCTCTTGGGCTGCAGAAATCTGGGTAATTGTTAGAAGGCATCAAATAAATTAACCAGAGCTGCTGCCTCCTAGTGGTTATTAAATTAATACAGGTCAGAATTCGCCCTAGTCTTGAATATATTCATTTACCATGAATATAGAAATATTCTAAAGGAATGAAATGTGAAGAGATTGATAGGCTGCATGTTCTTGATCTTTCAGTCTAAACACAATCCTTTTAAGCAATTGCTTCTTTCCAGAGCAGGAGGACATCCTGGCATTATATATTTAATTATCAGTTGGGACGTTACTTTAAACATTATTTAAAATAAACCTTCTTTTCTAAGATATACATAAGAACCCAGTTTGGTGTAGTGGTTAAGGCATCAGGCTAAAAATTGGGAGACCAAGTGCCAGTGTTGCCTTAGGCAGGCATGAAGCCACATGGCTGACTGGTCCAGTCATGTTCTCTCAGCCCTAGGAAGGAAGCAATAGTCAATTACTTCTGAAATCTTGCCAAGAAAACCGTAGGTAGTGTCCAAGCAGTGGTCAGGAGTCAAGACTGATTCAATGGCATAAGAAGAAAGCTATACCTGAAGCTAACATTGCAGGCATTCATAGAAACATGACCTAGTATCCCCCCTCCCTATTGTATTTAAAGGTTTATCTGCAAAGTTTACCTCTCATTCCCTGGCTGTCTGCCAAAACTAATTTCTATCTGATAGCATGTGCAAAGATAAGGCTAGCTTGGAATACTAAAATTGTCCCTACTTGGCTACTATTATTTGTTTCCTATATATAAATCACATATGCATGGCCAATAGAATACAAAATACACACTTTAGGAAAAGTTTTATATCTGAAGTACTAAAAAAACTGAAGCAAACAAATGAAACCAGAAAATCCAATGTCTTTTCAGCAAGATACACCATTGATTGAATTACAGTACAGATTACAGAGTGTACATCTATGCATACCTAATCTCAGCAGATCAATCTACATAGAGTCTTTAGAACGGGGGTGTCAAACTCAAGTTCCACAGACCGGATCCAGCCCGCAGGGGGGAGCTTAAATCCGGCCCACGGGGCAGCCTGGAAATATCATGGGACTGGAGGCTAAAATGGACTGCATGCAGGCCCCCCCTGTGCCTCATTTTCACCCTTCATGGCCTCCTGCAGCAAATGGGCCCAAAATAGGCCTAAAAACAAGCTGAAAAAGGGCCACGCGGCCCGTTTTCAGCTGGCAGAACAGTGCAGGAGGCCAATGGGGTGAAAATGAGGCTCAGAGAGAGGACCCTCCCCCCCATGCCCGGTTTTTGCCAGCAGGGTGCTGCAGGGGGCATCCGTACAGCCTCCCCATGCTGCCCCCCCACCACTGGCCTGCAGAGAGAACTACAATGCTGATCCGGCCCTCGAAGAAATCTAGTTTGACACCCCTGCTTTAGAACTTGTAAATACACTTTAACATTGTCACAAGCGAAGGTATATAACTTAGATCATATAATTATGCCTTACAGCTTCACAATCAAAAATTCCAAAAGTATGGACCAAATTAAACTATTCACACAGAATTGGGGGGGGGGGGAGAGATAATGAGCTTAGATACAAATGCATACTCTACTTGTTTTTTAATCCTAATGGTTATTAAACTTTTGTAGGGCTTCTGAAGATGTCATAATCATTATACTGGTGTCCTGAGTCTAAATATCCAGAAAAACTAAGAACACACACAAAATGCACAGGCACTTGATCGTAGCAAGTGTCTGAACAGTGCAGTACAGAATCTTTTTGAATGGTTAGGTACACTTTGGAATCTTATTAATGCAGTGTGCATAGTGCAAGAAGATAGAGGATGACATGAAAGTCAGTTTTGAAGTTCCAAACAGAAGTAAGCCATCCCTACAGATGTTGCTTAGTGGGCAAGAGATAAACTTTCCTACTGCTGCTACTACAGGAGAAACGCATGTTCGATGCCCCAATTCCCTGTTCCCTGGTTGCCCCAATTCTCATAATTTTCCAAATAAGCAAGGGGAAGATGTGGGTGGAGGGGAGGGAAATGTTATTTTAAATTCAAAAGGAATCTATGTGGGGAAATTCCTCTTACCCTTTCTGCTTTGATTAAAAATCACACTCAACCCCTTACCCTCTACTGAATCAAAACTGAAACTACATTACTTTGAGTCCTTAGGTTTTCCAAGGAGTAGAAAAGTTGTTTTTTAAGGACTGTGAATATTTTCTTTACAGTGTAGGTTTTAGATGCACATCTTAGCTTATAATCATAATACGATCATTATCTTGTACTTCAGAAATAATGCTGTGTAATGCCAAGTATTTGACATCAAGACTGTCTTAGTCTATAATGTAAGCCAAAGAAGTTAATTTATTGTATTGTAGATATTGTCTCAGTTTTGAAAATGTCTATTTTTTTGTAGGTTTTGCTGTTACTGGAAGCTGAAGGTCCTTTTGATTGAAGGAATATTTAGATCTATTCGTTGTGAGGTTTTATGATATACCTGAAGACAATGACCCGATCATGACTCTCTTCCAGTGGTGTAATATATCTGTAATGTTTTGTCCTAGTGGCAAATTTTTGGTTCAAAGACTGCTGTAAACTGGTGAGGAATTTTTTCTCCTTAATAATATAACTGTCTTTGTACAACTATTGTCAAATTAGATTACTCATTTGATACTCTGTATTAATGACTTATTTGGACATAAAGGCACCATAGCATATTCACTCTTTCAAGTGAGCATGTCTGTGCCTTCTAGTAATCTTCTCACAGTTAAATATCACTTGCACAAGCACAAGATTTTCAAATATTCAAGTTTTGCTCCAAACTTGTTCTTAATTATGGGTGATGCTGCAGATTAACAAACTCTATTTAAAAGTTTTGTAGTTCTATTGGCTGTCCTTTTTAAAGAGATACTTATTATGGGCATCTAATTGAAGACAGGATTTTTTGTGTGTTTTTTGTACTGGCAACAAGATTAGCATGCAGTGGCAATGAGCCTTAAATGACATCACACATTTGAATTCAGTAAGGAGCTTTAAGTATTACCGTAAGGTTAAAAGTGAGTGATTTGACCAGCTGGAATCAAGTATAGCTAATAAAAATGGATTGAAATAGTGCAATATTTCTGAAGTTCAGATGGCTTTTTTGTATGCCACTATATATGGCTGTGCTGTTAATTTATTATAGAAAAATCATTTGATTTTTATCTGGTGTAAGCATTATAAATTGTCTTTGTAATATCTATAATCCTTATAATAAGTCTTACACTGTACTGATAGCATTGTGAAGTTTCACAATGCTATCGGTTACAGTAACTTTTATGGTTTAATAATTGATAGTCAGCATTGTAATATATTGGCACTTTGGAGGTTTTTTTTAACAGTAGAAAATTATCCAAGGAAGTGATTGCATTATTTAAATAGTAAGACTTTAATGTTAATTTTCTGTATGTTTTGAACTTGACTTTCCAGCCATAATATGCTTACTTCTCAAGTTCTGTTATTCTGTTACTGCCCAAGTCTATAAAGCAAATTAAATTCAGTTTGAGAAGTAACTTTGATCTGAATTCAAGTTCAAATTGGGAGTTCAAATTTTGCTTTGGTGTATTTGATAAATTATTGTTGCTGGCATTATTCTTCACATACCTGCATTGGAATAAAATTATGTTGAAACTACCCCTCTTATGCATGTTTTATAAATAGAAAGCATTTTAGGTGAAGAAGAATCATTATGGATCAGTTCATAAAACACATTGCATATGTAAACTAATATTGGTTAACCAATTAGATAAATAGATAAAATAAACTTCCACACATGTTTCTTAGTACTACATGGCAAAATTTGGTCACACTTAAGAAAATGGAATCATTTTAATTTGAAAGTTAATTAAATAAAACTGATTAGAATGTTTAGTACATTTTGCTTATCTATAGCATTAACTCACAGAAAAAGTTATACAATTATTGTTTAGGAAAGAGAAAACAAAATCACAATTAAATTGTAAAATCTTTGCATTCACAACACTTGTCGTAGTGCTAAAATGATACACTAGAGGGCAGGCTATAACTTCAGGTTGCTATGTCTAAGGCATTGTACTAATATACAGCTAATACTAATGTGCAAGATAAGCATTTATCAATAGAATTTAATTAATATTTTTGGTTTTTTATGAATACCTGGGCTTCTATGATCCCTCGTAAAATGAGGGGAATTCTTGGGAAAAGGGTCTGTTCACCTTCTAAATTACTGTATGTGGATTTTGCATAAATCAGGTTTGCAAATTACATACTTCAAGATTTGATTATACTAACAATTTGAGTAAGTCAGTGACCCAATTTTTCTTGTTTTTACTATGTAATTATGAAAGCAGGAATAATTCTTTGCTTAATGCAGACATGATATTATTCCGATTAAAATCGGAAGGGCGGCGGGCGGCGCGAGCTGAGCCCGGGCGGGCGGCGCGAGCTGAGCCCGGGCGGCGGGTGGCGCGAGCTGAGCCCGGGCGGGCAGGCGGCGCGAGCTGAGCCCGGGCGG